CAAAATCAATTTAAAATACAATATAAATCAGCAGTGTAACCATGCCCATAGGTAGGTAGGTATGTGTCCTAGTTCAAAAAATAAAACCTGCATCCTGAAATACTTTTTTATTTTGATTAGCTTAACATGCAGATGAATGAAATGTTTAAATGTTAAAGGTCACAGACACAATTAAGATTGCTATCCTATATTCATTTTCTTGAGAATAAGCTCAATAGAACTCAGTGAAGCTTATATAGGAATTTAAAAAAGATTTAAAAAAAAGAAAAATGAGAGGTCGGGCTAGTTGTTTCCTTCTATGTGGTTTGGAAACATTGGTATCTGAAATATCACCATTATTTCTATCATGTTTTAAAACACCTGTCAGTCTATCTTCGCTGTCTTCATGGTGATTTGAATAGAACATATTTATGGAGAGGTTTACATAGTTACATTTAAATAATTTAGGGAAGTTCTTGGTGTAGAGAAAACTCAAGCCATTTTAAGAAAAGCAACCAACAGTGAAGGACAAAGCTCCTTTCAGTTCAGGATTTCAGAACAGCTTATGTCTCTAACAAACACACATTAAAGTAAAATAATTTGGAGGAAAAAACTGGCATACTGGCCCCATTATAACCAACAGAGTGACTCTAGTTTATTTACTGAGAGACAGGATGTTACATTTTCAATAGCCCAGTTTTTAGGCCCACAGACAGCTTTGCCTTGGAAGTGACAACATGTATTGCACTACATCCAACTTTAGAATTTTCTTGAGCAGACCCACTGAAATAATTAGGACTGAAATGCTTTGTGACTAAAAAGTTCTGTTCCTTCCAACAGATCTACGCCAGGTAGATATGATGTCAGCTTTAGCCCACTATTTTCCCTCCAAAACGGAAGATATATTCAAGAAAAGATTAGACATGTTGTGAGTGAGCAAACTGCATTTCAATTAATAAATCAAAAAAGTAGATCAATCACAGATCTTGAGTATCACCTTTGGTCAGCATTTTTTATACAAATCTGTATTTTGAGATACTACAGTCCCAAATTTCAGTGCTTAAACATGGTTGTAATAAAATTACATTTTTGCTCAAACACAAGAAATGGAAACACTGATACAAGTGCAAAAACAAGGATTCTTTGTGAAGAAAATCCCTACAGGAAGAGATGCTATAAATGCCCTGAGCCTTTTATAAAATGTAAAAAACTGTCCCACATTAAACTGTCCACCGTGGGGACCTTTTGTTCATAGGAAAATAAGCTAATATACCAACAAATACTTTCCTGTGAACAAGAATAAACACATACAGAACAGCTGCAAATTCCATGAACTGCAAGACAGGAATTCTTCAAAATTATGTACATGATAAATGGCAGCTAAATCCTTGAACCATATAGATATTGTGCTGGCTGTTCAGTAGGGAATAACCAATTCAAAGACTGGCAATGAGAGCTGAGTATATTCACACCCTTCAATCGTCATAATAGTGTATTTGTTGCCTATGAGTGTATGAAGAAAATAAATAATTCATTTTGCTTAGTCAGCACAGTATTCGCAATGTCATGCATGTTATACAAATGAAAGATGTCAATCACATAAAAGAAAGATCTGGTTTGTTACTGTCTTGTTGAAGGATGATAAACTAGATGAACAAAAAATCTATTACTTGGTGTGTAAGATGACAACTTCAGTTTCAGTGCAACCTAGGCAGAAAGAGTTAATGTGCCAGTCACTCAATACATGTCCAGGATATTAAGATGTGATATGCAACTTCTATGGACGTTGAGGTTACAAATGGAAATGGAAATGCTTTGAAAGATGCAATGGAGGAAAAAAAAACTGGTAACAAACCATCTTTCATAATTCTTTAGTCTCTAGGACTGAATGAAGCGGCTGCTTCATCAAGATGGAGGAAAGACTCAACCACACTGATGCAGTTGAAATTAGAGAATGATAATCTAATCTATGTTAGCCACGTCATCTGTTCAAAAGATAACAAATACCCAAAGAATATCAGACCTGATGGTGGATTTGCGATCATTATTTCACTCTCCTTTTCTTCTGGAAGTAAAATTGTAATGGAAGAAATAACTTTCACAATGCAACTCATGGAAAAAGCCAGACAAACACAAATGATGACACCCTGGTGCTAACAGATTTCTTTACTGTAAAGAATACGCATACCTGCTAGGTAGATTAAGTAATTGATAAAAACAGTTTCCCATTAGTTAAGAAAACTGACCTTACTTTCATTATGTTCTTGCTAATCTATTTCTAGGCTTTCAGCCTAGTGTAGCTCTAGTGACTGGCAGTGTTACCACACGGATCGTGGATTAGGCAGAGGTAGTTCAGGAAACTGGCCAAAGTCCACTTAGGGTTCCATTTCAGTAACCTTGGTTGCAAAAATAAGATTTTAATCCTTTGTTCAGTTACACAAAATGCTTCCACTATGGATGGAAATATTGTCACACCTACATGATCACAGCAATGTGGAGAATAAATAGCCCTATTTGTAAAAAGAGAAACTAGTTCCAATTAGTTAGTTTAATTATTGTTTTTTGAAATGATTACAGAAAGATGTAAGGCAATGAAAGATGGCCATTGTCTGACATATAGTGCTGCTCCTCCATTTCACTGCCGAGAAGTTTTTAAATTTTGAGATAAGCTTTCTAACAATGAATTGAGCAGATATTTTGTTAGACTGAAATAGGAGTTTGTGAAAGCCTTCACCTTTTGGTTATACATTTTATTCTTCTTTGGAATAGATAATGGTGTTCAAGTAATTCTAGGCTAAATCCACTTATTAGACTCAACTGGATTAGATAGAAGGTGTAGCCCTACCACATTTGGTGGGCCACCAGTTCCCCCCCACCCCACCCTTGGCTTTAACCTAATTCCTCTTGCACACATTATCAGGAAGTTTTCCTGCAGGAAGTACAGTAAAATGCAGTGCCTACTTTACACCTGGGTGTTACACCTGGAAATGTGGGACATACATTTAACAGGCAAATAAATGAAATGCGTGGAATCAATACAAGAACCTTCCATTTCCCCAGAAATCTGTTTTCCAACAGTAGTTACATTTGAGAAGACTATTTAACCAATATATTCTAAAAAAAGGAGAAGTGCCTTAGTATTTATCCCTGGTGGGTGGGATCAGATGGCTTGGACCTCCACCAGTCCTAGTGAAATGTTATATATGCCCTTGCTCCAGCTCTGTCATTGCTGCTTGTAAGCTTTAAAGATAATCCACATGCTCTAAAAAAGACAGCTGAGATTTTATATAGAGATTATGTGGAGACATCAGTCAAAGATGAAACATGCAAAAGTTTTAATAGATGACAACATGGAACCTAGAGAGAGAAGGTTAAAATGAAACACTCAGACAATTCATTAGAAGGTTGCCTGCATGGAACCTGAAGGGGGAAACAACCACATTAACTTCATGATATTATGCCAGGAAATGAACAAATTGTAGTAGCTATATTGCCTGCACAAAAAAGGAAAGGAATAAAAGGATAGTGTGGAATAAAATACATGTGATCACAGTGCAACACGAAACAGTCATGAAGCATGGAGCCAAAAAAGATGACATGGTGCATTTGGTGACACAGCCGCTGTTGATTAAATTTTTCTGTGAATACAAGAAATGTGGTACAGAAGTAGATGGCCGAGCTATTAAGAAGAAAATCCACTTAATTCAATTCACTTTGCTTCCAAATAGACCTGTCTTGGACTGTACTGTAAGTTTCCTAGCATTCCATAACTCCTAATTAATCCCTTGATTCAAAACCAGAATTTGGAGATGTTGTGGAATGTAACTCCCCAAATCCCCCAGCCTTTCTAGACCAAAAAAGTTACATCTCCAAGTTCTTTCAAACACGATTATCAAGTAAACACCATAGACTTCACTGAGGATTCTATCCCTTTCTTCCGTTGGAACTAGATAGGTTTGTTGGACAAACACCTTCAAGGTTGTTCCTAAACAGTGGGATATTAGCAGTGCATTAAGAAGGGTACTTCTAGACAGAGGGGGGAACAACTGCAGGAGGTCTGTGGGCTATTTTCCACTACCCTGGACATTTATTCACTTTGGTAAAACTGGAAATAACAGAATATTACTTATGCTTTTCCACAAAGGGGTTTTTAGTTTTTGTTTTGTTTTTTGGCTGAAATAAGGTGTGAAAAACCCCTTGTTTTATAGGACAATTGCAACCCTTGGTGGTTCTTGGAGGCATGATTCCCTCTCCCTCTCTAGCTGGTTAAGTCCAGAACAGCCTGTATACAGTCCACAAGTCATGCACTTTCCAGTTATGTTCTAGACAGACAATTTCTAGAGCTTCCATCACTCTGCAATTCTGTGATTGAGTCTAGTGGCATCGTGCAGCCATTCCATCTTTCCTTCCTCTGTACTAAGAAAAAAGGTGGATGAAACAGTAGGAAAGCTTGGATGGTGTGTGTGGGGGATGCAATGTTGCCTGGCCACCCCATAAAATGAAATTCCATTCATCAGGTAAGGCAATTTCACTGCGAAAGACTCTGGAAACACCATAATAAATAGCCATAAAAAAACTCCTCTGATTCTGGCCAAAGTGGCTAGTAAGGGAATTTGTAGAGATCATGACGGCCGCTTCCAAATTAGTCAATTAGCATGGCCTTCTGGCTACTCTTCTCTTTTAAAAGGCTAACTTGTCAAAATACTGTACTTGAAGCAGAATCTCAAACTGTGAGAATTAGATTCTTGATCAGAGAAGGTACTCCCTCACTAGCCATAACCTAGCACTGACAATGAAAATGAATAAACAAAACGTAGAACTGAAAGGGTAGGTTCAAGATGTTGTGCTGCAGCCTGGCAGCAAGCACTTTAGACCAGTTGAAATGTCAATCTTTCAAAGGTAATTATTGTCTTGCAATAATCCAGTCTCAGAGTTACTAAACAGGAATGATTGAGCATAAACTCAAGAGCCCTCAAAGCTAGTCAAGAAGAAGCAAATATGACATAATATAACAAAACAAAACATAACGTAACATATAACAGGGAGAGATTGAGCAATAGAACTCTCATGTCATATGCAGCTTGGCCTCGGGATATTTAAAGTGAAGAAGAAGGAGGAGGAGAAGGAGAAGGAACTTGGCCTCGGGATATTTAAAGTGAAGGAGAAGGAGAAGGAGAAATCACATACCGTAGTTAAAAAAAGAAACTACATTATGGCTTGGAAAAGAAGAATGAGAAAAAAAGCATCAATAATCTACTTTTGCTTTCTCCTGGTTTCTAGCTGCCAAAGAATAAGCACACTCACCTTTTCCAGGTGCAGTTCCATCTTCCTGAGGTTTACTTTGTTCTGTGTAGGAAGTAGAAGCACACTTGTGAGAGAAAACACCCTGATCATAAATGTTTGTACTAGTCTGCTCACCTGCAATGCTGGCATAACATGAGCACTTTTACAGTAGATATTATGCAAGCACCACAGTTGGTATGAATCATTCCACAGTATTAACTGCATAGCTGCAAGAGTCTGGTGATTAATTTATGCATAACTTATATTAATTAAAGCAAACTGTTAGATTATTTTAGCATCCCCATATTTTTGGTGGGGCAGTTGGTTAGGAATGAAGCCATCGCTGGATAATGGCGCATATACTTTCCATGTGCTTATTTTATCTACTCTGCTTTGATCAGTCGTCAAAAGGACCCATTATTTTGTGATGGAAAAGACCTCTGCATGATAGTTATGGCTTCTACTTTTTTGGGTGTGGGTAGGTGCATCCAAATTTGGTTCACATCCAGAATGTGCAATTGCTGGGAACAGACCAAAAGCGAGCCTTTCAACTATTAGCACTGCCAAAACTCCTTTCACTGTCAATTTTTCAGATTAGTGAAGTGACTTTTTATATATATATACTTCACTTACTCTGTCCCTCTGCAGCGGAGAAGAGGAGGTGTTCAATTTGCCTATATATTTAAATGCCTCCGGTAGACCATCACTGATGCTCTGACTTAGATAATTTTTTAAAAAAATTCTTAGCCTTTGGGTGAAATGCCAATGGAAACCATACTTGGAGACAGGTTCTCTATTGGTGCTATGCACAAGACAAAGAAAAAAGGTTTTTAAACTTAGTCTAAGTAATTCAGTGCATTAGCAATGGTCTACCAGAGGCAAATAATAATACAGTAATTTTTTTTCACTTCCCCCACTCTGAGGAACAGAGGAAGTGATCACTTTGTCAATATCCTGAAATACCTCATTTATTAAATACTTTTACAGTACCAGAAAATGCCAGTGGAGGGAACTGGATTAAATACGGTCAATTGAGGTCATTATGCAATTTAGATATGAGGATCTCACCAAATGGCATATCACTCCTCCCACTGACCTCAAGCAACCCTCTTTAGACCACACAAGTTAGTCCACTAGAATTATTACAATAATTTCATGTAGTTTCATTAATTTACCTAACAGGATAAAAATGGAGAGGAGTAATATGTACTCTGCCTTGAACACTTGAACTTTTGGAAACTACGCAAACTCACCTTTTCCTGGTGCAGTTCCATCTTCTTGAGGTTTAGTTTGTTCTGTGTAAGAAACAGAAGCATATTTTTAGGAGAAAATACTCTGAACACTCATAAATGTCCATGGTACAGTTACTTGTAATGTTGGCATAACAGCAGCATTTTAGATATTGCAAAAGAACCACAGTTGATATGTTTCACAGCACTATAAGCAAAAAGATGCAAAAATTAGACCATTCATTTAATATGGAATAGTCAATGAGTCTACAGTGTGATGCAGCAGCAAAACAAAACAAAACAAAACTGAAAACCCACCAAAAAAACCCCTAACATGAAAGTCACAGTAGAGATGGGTGTATTCATATATAAATTATGCCCCTACCTGGATAGGAAGTCTCTGACAACACCAGTTCATGCGCTAGTAATCTCAAAAACTGATTATTGCAATGCTCTCTACATGGGGCTGCCCTTGAAGATGATAGGGAAGCTTGAGCAGGCCAGAATGTGGCAGCCCAGTTAGTTTCTGTGGGCAAATTTGATCATGTTTAACAAATCCTGACCTGCCTGCATTGGCTCCTTGTAGGCTTTCATGCCAAATTCAAAGTGTTGGTGTCGACAGCGATGACACCATGTGGTGGCAACTGAAATACATGATACAAGTGACGACCAACTGAAAACTACCAAAGTGGAAGAATGTTACTAAAGGCTTCTTCAAAAAGCTCTCATTTGCAAAAGGCCTGGAGGGATAAGGCCTGGTGAACCACAAATGTGACTGAATTCCACAAAGACAAAGCCACCACTGAGAAGGCCCAGTTCCTAGCTAAAACCTTCTGAGCCTCCGTCAGTGTAGACACCTGTAGCATCAAGACTAGAGAGGAACACTCTTTGCTGTTGGGACCAGAAGAAGTTCGCAGAGCTCCATTTGGTTCTGAGCACACACACCCCTTTTAGAAGTTGTGGTGCCCTTTAACACAGTGGTCTCCAACCTTGGGCCTCCAGATGTTCTTGGACTACAGCTCCCAGAAGCCTTCACCACCACCTCTGCTGTTGGGGTTGGAGGCCACTGCTTTAACACATAAAGTGTTAATGTGGCTTCAATTGGGTCTTCTTCTGAGGACTTCCCTTGTCCTTACTAGAGGGTGTTTCCAGGGTTATGTGTTAAAGGAGACATAAACTCCTGAAAGGGTTTTCTTTCTGAATTCTGCTTGGTCTTTGGGAAGGAGCAATAAGAGCCTGTTGGTCCTTCTGTTATTCATCCCTGGCATCCCATCTGGATATCTGAACATATGCGCACCAACACAGTGCAGCACACATTAATACTTGCTGGAAGCCACCTAGGTTTTTCTTCCTAACATTTTGCCAGTCTCTGTGAATGGCATCTGCAGAGGACAGGAGTTAGAACTATGTCTGTGTTCTGGTGTAGTGTGTGGGATAGTTGAGTATTTGTAACACAGTAAAGCACAAGTGGTCTTGGGCCAAAATATAACCCCAACGGCCAGATGCAACACCCATGCTTTAAAAACATCCACATCTTGACGTATCCAGGTATTGCAGGAACTTTAAACGGACACTTTATTCATTGCTACTTTGTTTTCTTAATGTAGGTTACCTGGACATGCTTTACTGCAACTGCCTAGTCCTTCATACTTAGCATTAAATACTGGCAGAGGTAACTGTTTCTTGTCCACAGGATTTAGAGCCATGCGCATAAACTTTCCTTATAAGGCAGTTGTCAACTGCTGATTTTCAAGTGGCAATTGCTGGTTTGGGGGTTCCAGCTGAGGGGAAACTGTAAAAGGTTCTGTGGCTGTATTATAAGGTGGACTTATTTGCAAATGGTTGTGCCTATTTATTATTAAATAGATTGCCTGTTTTATCTCAGCCACCGCGAGTTAATTTTGGTGCCTCCAGTCTCCTCACCAAGAGTAATGAACCCCAGGTTCTGTTAATCTCAGGCTTCTTTTTGTACCCATAACATAGAAATGGTAGTTTGGCAATAAAGCTCCCCACTCCTAAAGTGAAACCAGAAATGATTCCCACATGGTTTTATTTTTAAAATAATGTTTTAAAATAATGTGTTCTCGAAGGCTTTCATGGCCGGGATCCAACCATTGTTGTAGGTTTTTTGGGCTGTTTGGCCATGTTCTGGGGGTTTTTTTTCCTACCGTTTTGCCAGCCT